CTTTTATATAGTTTGGAGATGATGGGGTGTTTGTTATTGCAAGATTCAGAATAGCCATGGCCTGGCAGGGATTTTTCCACCTTGTCTTCAGTTTTTTGAGATTAGCAAATTTGAAGACGACTGCAATTTTTCTTCCAAATATCTGTTAGGGTTATGGGTCTGCAAGCAGTGGCATTATGGAAATCATTTAATAATCTGAAGAGCCTAGGGCCATGATGGCAAGCCTATGGCACGCATGCCACAGGTGGCACACGGAGGCCTCTCTGCCAGCATGCGAGCCCCAGCTGAGATCCACCAAGAATGCACTACCGGAGAACTGATTTTCGGGTCTCTGTAAAACACTATACAAGCCATCCATATACATCCAACAGGAACAGGAAGTGCCTCACAGTCACAGGAGCAGATAGAAGTAAATCCTAGAGAGGCAGGAAATGCATCACTGAACAATGGAGATGAATGCTAGAGAGGAATAAAGTGGCATTCGAGGCGGAGATAACTCCTGTAACAGCGTAGGCGTGCAGAGAGGAGGAACACAGTGGGTGCGCCCCCCCGTGTCCCATTTTTGACCCGAGGAAGCTTCAGGGAGGCCCGCTAGGCCCAAATGGGGCGCAGGATGGGATGCAATTGCGCACGGGGGCACACACACCTTGTATTATGGGTGCAGGTGCTTTCGACATGGTTAGCCATCATTGACCTAGCGCCTTCATTTTTAAGGGTAATGGGACATTTTGCAGCATAATGATTTGAAGAATTTGGAATGGATTTAGACCAAAGTCTTAATTCTGTCACAGAGCTAATTTGGTTCATTAGGTTAATTAATCTACTAACCACTCTGCAGCCCAATTTGAAAAGTGGCTGGGAATTTACAACTGGTCTGGAAATATTGTCCTGATTGCATAGAAAGTGGGGAGGGGGCAGATAAATGCAATAAACAATTTCTTCAGATGTTTAATTCACTAGGGTTACAATAATATAGTGATCCCCATCAAAACCATTAAAAAGCTAAAGTCAGAATATTTTGGACAAGTGATGCAACACCCAGAAAAATAAACCATACTTCACTTAATCCTTCAAGGAAAGATTGGAGGCAAACAAGGTCAAGGTCCAGCCAAAGAAGAACATCAGGGCTTCAAAATCTAAGGGAGTAGTTTGGTCAAAACTCAACAGCACTTTTTCATGTGACTGTTGATAAAAATGATTGCCAATGTCTGATGATGGATATGGAAGAAGAAGAAGAGGAGGAGGAGGAGGAGATCCCCCAACCTTAGCGGCTTGGTGGTCTGGCTGGGGAAGGGGAGTTGGTGGTGGGGCAATGTGCCCATACGCACAACTGGACTTGCACAAGATGAGCTGCACGCACACATACTTGCCAGACTGCCACTTGCGAGAGTCGACCTGCATGCACGCATGCACACCAGCCCACCACTCACAAGGCCTGGTTGCGAATAGGCCACAGCAAGACAGTAGCCCGTGCTCCTGTGGTTGGGGATCCCTGCACTAGTGAGTCAGGACTTGTAATTCTCTCCCAAGAATCCAACCGCACTGCTGTGTACAATGGAGGCTACTCACCTTGTTTGTAAAAAGCTTGCTGTTAAGCAAGGAGGTGAGGAAAAAATTTCTTTTATCTCCCTATCAAAAAGATAGAAAAGAAAAGCAATTAATCAAACCATAGCATACCAACCCAGCTTTATACTTGCTTGGAAATAACTCTGTGTCCAACGTAAGCCACGGTGGCTCAGTGGTTAGAGTGCAGTACTGCAGGCTATTTCTGCTGACTGCCGGCTGACTGCAATTTGGCAGTTCAAATCTCATCAGGCGTTGACTCAGCCTTCCATCCTTATAAATAAGAATTCATCAACTTCCATGTAAATCTTATAATTCCACCTATGTTAGTGTACAAATCTCACATCTTGTACTTCTTTTCTTCCCTTTGGCTATAAAATTTACCATCAGCTATTATATCAGAAACAGTCAATTATGTCATACTGTGGTACTGAATGAAATACCACCATTGACAGGGATCAAAATTGTAGAAAATTATTGCCTACCAGAAGTTATTGAACTACAATCTCAAACAGCTCTTGATATGGCCAATGATGAGAACTGCAGGAAACTTAAGATTCAACAACATCTGGAGAATTACAAGTTCCTTGTAAAAAGAATGACTTCTTAATATCCATTCAGATATTAAGCACAGTGCATAATACCTTAATTGCTCTCATTAACATTTGTTCAAGCTCCAGAAATTTAAATCTTATCCTTCATTGATCCACTATCTGCTGATAGGGTGGAAACAGATAGGGTGGTGGGATTTACTTACCTTCCCTACTGGATCGCAAATGTGAGCGTGCATGTGTTTGACTCCCCTGGTCTAGGGAGCTGAGCTTGCAGAAGGAGTGGGGGCATGGCAAATAGAATAACAAAGTAGCAGAGTTGGAAGGGACCATGGAGGTCTTCTAGTCCAACTCCCTGCTCAAGCAGGAAATCTTGCAGGAAACAACAATTTTTCAGAGTCTAAAGGAGAAGGTGGGTGGGGGGAAATGTACTTTCAGATGTGGAAAATTCTGCTAATGTAGCTTTACAATAGAGATACTCTTAGTCGTGCTTCTTGCCTGGACTACACAAAGGGCTGATAGATGTTTACAGAAGTACATTTTTATCATCAGAAACAGGCAATACAAGACAATACAAGTAGCAACCTTAGAGCATTCCGCTGTGCTTCACTTCTTATTTCTGCTGACTTCCATTTCTCAATCAGTCCTCTGTCCAGCTGGCTGATCCTAGGCAAGACTTCCAAAGAGGTGGCTGCATTAGTACATGCAGAAGCCTGAAGAAAGGAAAATCCAAATGAAAAAGTGTTGTTGCTATCTCACATAACCAACGGTTCATGATGTAAACTTTTGAGAAGGCGGAGATTCACGGTCACTTCTCATTCATGATCCTGTAGAAAATGGAAATGCAACTTTTGG